ATATATATATATATATATATATACATATACACACACACAAGAAAAATTTTGAATCTGGCAAAAATTAAAGAGTTGAACTACTTGTTTTTTCAGTTTCAAATCATTTTAAAGCTTTTTTTCAGTTTAAAAATGTTTTATTTTGGACAAACTTTATGGCCCGAGTTTATCCCCATAAACTCTGCATTCTGGGGGGGACATCAGAAAACACCTAAAGTCATTTAGCAGGAAAAGTTGGTGTGGCTGACATCATGAACTGTCAGCTAAACATTCTATGATAAAATATGTGAAATTGTAAAACTTTGTGTTATTGTGTAAAAACAGTAAAGAACATCAAAACACCCTTTCAAACATGTGACGTCAAATTTTCTGTAACTTGTTTAAATTTTGAATGATGTTTCTACAGTGAAGTGTGCCAAAGCTGTAGAGCTCCAAATGTGGATGAGTTTTCTCAATTTACCCCCAAAATCCCACTGCCATTATTTGTATTATTTATTGTGTGATTTTTATATAGGCTGTACGATGCATAAGCAAAAATCACAACATATTATTCCTGAGTGTACGTTTTCATGTATAATTTGCCAGGTTTTTTTTTTTATTTTTATAGATGTGCGTAGAGATACAGGACATAATCTTTAAATAGTTCTTCAATACTAACGCATCGACAGCCTTAATAGGAAGAACTTACAAGGTAAAACATCCCTGTATCGGTTCTTCTCCAGGTTCTCAGGAAGTCGTGCGCAGCTCAACAACAAATCAGGTTTCCTCCTGTACAAATTCTAGGAATGACAAGCATGCAAACACACACAAACATGCAAGTAAACACAAAGACAAACAGAAAATTAAAAAATTTCCGGCCAGTCGCTGCATTTTTGTTTTTTGAACAGCATCCAAGTGAAGATGTGGGCCAACATCTGTCCATGTGAAAGGCTCATTATGATTCTCACAAGCTGAATGTTGCTTAAAAAAAGGGATATACACGCTGATTTGTGTTTTGTTTATGCATATAAACACACATTTAATAGTAGTAATTAGCTTCGAGATGTATTTGAAATACCTCAAAATGGAAGCAGAGCGTGCCAGACTGTATCCCCCTCTCCAGCTGTTTCATGGATTCCTCCAACGTGGCGACCTGCTCCGACAGTCCGGGTGACTGCGGTTTGTTTTCCTGTGGTTGGATGGTGAGTGTTAAGGCAGGAGGTAGCTGAAGTGAGGGTACCATTCGACTCGAACCTGCGACGCAAGCACAGTTCAAGTCTGTGATAAATATTCATTTAAAAAAAGGCACATATTTGCATTTCTTGTCATTTTTGCACTTTTCTCCCACTTACCTTTACGTCTGATAAGCAGCGCCAGCTGTCTGGAGTGTGACTCTCGGCTGGCCCGTATGAACATGACAACCTGGTCATGTGTGTGTTCAGAAATGTCTCGACCATTGATGAGCACCAGCAGGTCTCCCTTCTGGAGTTTGGGTTCGGATCGACCGGCCTACAAATAACATAGCAAATTACAAATAACACCGTCATGTCATCTCTGAAATATTTATCCAACTATTATAAACTTTGATCTCAAAAGAACTAAAAAGTGCATGTGTGTTTGTTTGCATATTGTTAGCAAAATATCTTTTGAACTATCCGAGGGGTTTAAATAAAACTCTCAGAAAGCAAATACTTCAAGTGTAGCTACAACATAAAACATTTTGGAGTCAACTTGATTCAAAAGGACAATATGGAACTAAATAGGTGCCATAATGTTGTTCAAAACAACTTGTTTTGAAACTGAAAACAAAATTTTTGAAATTTAAAAATTAATTTGAAACTAAAAAAATGTTTGAAACTAAAGAAAAAATAAAGAAAAAAATTATAAAACCAAAATACAGTGTATATTTTTGGATTTGTGATACAACTGCCTGCCATACCTTGTTAATTAAATGAACAGCCTGCCATAAATAGTTAATTATGATAAAATGGCCTACCATACTTGTTAAAAACAACCTATTTTTAAACTGTATGACACAATGGTTGGCAATAATCCTTACTTACATTATAAAGCAGCATGTCATTGCCATCATTTTTGGCTATATAACAGCCAGCCATATATTAATTAAATGACACAACAGTCAAACATATTTTTTGATCATATGACACAACAGCCTGCTATAAATTGTTAATTTTATGACACAATCTACCATACTTCATTAATTATATGATACAACGGCCTGCCAAACTCGGTAATGATTCAAGTACTTGTGGACATTTTTATCAGTTTCAAATCTTTTTTTTTTTTCAGTTCTAAATTTTTCTTTCAGTTTCAAAAATTGTTTATTTGAACAAATTATATAGCCTTAATTTAGCTCCACGTCTCCCACAGCTAATCAAGCTTAACAAACACAATAATGGCTGTAACTCAGTCACTGTTCTAGATACTGAGCTGAGATTTGATGTGGTAGTAACACGTTTTCCTTTAAATAATTCTAATTTTATTATTATTATTATTATTATTATTATTATTATTATTATTATCTTTAAAACAATAACATTTTGAACACAGCTGGAGTCTCTTCTTACCGGGGAGTCTGGTTTAACATGAGATATGGACAGAGGCATCTTCTGATCCACTCCACCCTGGGAGAAGTTCAACAATTTAACCACAGAGGCAAATAATAAACTGTTACAGTCTGCACGTGTAGAGGAGAAAGACTTACTTTTACATTAAAGCCAAACTTGCCATCTTCATCTGGAGTGATGCATATCAGCATCAAATCACCATCGCCGAGAACTCCCTGCACACAGATCTTGTTATCAACTCATATGAACCAAATAGGTGAACAAATAGGCGGCAATAAACGCGTCTAGAGTTTACGAGACGAGATAAAGCACCTTGTCATAGTGTGGTGGGCTATCATCTTCTCCTATACTATCATCAGCTTGTAACACCACCCCATTTCCTTCACTGCTAGAGCCAGAGATGCTGGGGGGAAAAAAGGATGGTTTGTTGAGTTATGAATGAGATCATTTCTACATTTTCCTGTGATTAAACATCTTCACACACACACTGAATCATTTATTGCAAAAGTAAAACTTTAGCTCTACGAAGCGTCTCTGTGATACTAACTGATGAGGTGTGGCGTCTCCTTCGCTGTCCTTGTTGCTGCTCACAGATGCCCTGTAGGTGTAGAAGACGTCCTCCCCCTCTGACATGTCCTTCAGGTCCATGGTGAGCTCCACGGACGACGGGCGAGGTTTACAGATCCTGTGGCGAACGCGTGGGCTTCGCCTTCAATAAAACACAGGTACAAATTAAAGGCATAGAATTCCTTGAACAAATACATGAACTCTGTCGTTCGTGCCAGAGTTTTAGACTAAGGCCACGTTCACACTGCAGGTCTAAATGCTCAATTCCGATGATTTTGTACAGATGTTCACAGCTTTGAAGCAAACTGCATGAGCAGAAGATGACATGACATTCAGCTTGCTGTTTCCATAAGTAGTCAATAGATGCTGCATATTGGCATGTTCATTCTGAAGTTTTTGTGCAATCAGAGCCAGTTAAAAAAATCATATTTGTCACATTCATAGTGTCAGGAAAAAAATCCAACAAGGGTCACAAAGGGGCAAAAACAACCAGCTTTGGGTCACATTATCCCGCAGCATGAACGTAGACTAAGATCATTATGATAGGAAAACATTTAAACATTATTTGAAGTTGGGAGCTGTACCAGTTGGGGGTGGAGGGAGGTGATCTGGACGGCAGACTCTTGGTCTCAAGATGCTCAGAAGAAAGCGACCTGTGTGGGACAGGGTTCCATTCCATCCCACCTAAAACACGCTGGCAGACCGGACCACTGCGAGCAAAGAGGGACAAAATTTGCAAAACTGTCAGCCTTTAACTAAAAAAACAAACAAACACATAAAAACATACTGCGAGCTCACATCTCAGTTTTACTGTTTCCGAGGCCGAGGTGCTGCGTTATCAACTTTTTGTAGGTCTGAACTGTGCTGTTGCTGATTTTGGGGCTCCTGACAGACCGGCTGGAGGAGAAGAAGGTGTGGTGGTCCACGCAGGACTGCCACAGGTTCTTACAAGTCCTGGGACAAGGAAGGATGAAGGCGACTTCACAGTCCTGCGTCTCCCCCTGTAAAGTACAGAGTTAGGAATCCTTGTCATTTAGTTTGATGCAACATTTAGGCCCTGATTTCAGATTTTAGACAACTTGAAAATGGAAATAAACACATCGTTTAAAAGAAAAATGAGCCCATAAATCTTGAGACCGCTGCTGCATGATGAGGAGAAATTAAAATGTTGAGCACAAATTCCTGTGTTTCACAGAGAAAATGGATTTCTCAGCCAGCCGTGCAGAGCGGAGGAAGAACTGAATCGTTAAAGAACTATTTTAAAAAAAAGGAACAGGACTCACATGTTTACGCTTCAGGTGTAAAATAAAGCGTCTCCTCTTAAATGAAATCTTGATAATGTTCCCCCTGTGTGGGAAGCAGCACAACTGCTTAAAAGCTGATCTGACGCAAAGAGAAGCTAAGCAATGAGATGCCCCGTTACTCACCACGGGTAGAAATTAGAGCAGACCGTGTTGTAAAATATTGCAACGCCGCTTGAGGCCAAACCGACCATCTGAGGTGCATTGTGGGCATCCTGGGGAAAAGGAAAAAAGTACTCAAAGGATGCAAAACAAAAACTGATGTGGTTAAAGATCTACCAACAACAGGTAAGATATTAACTGTTCCATCAAACTCTACTACGAAGGATCCAATGAATACTAGAGTACAAAAGTGTTTTCAGCTTTTATTAAAAGGAATAAATGTTTTGTTTTTTTAAACAATACCATGGCATCATGTAGCTCCACGCCATACAGCTCCAGATTTCGTGCCGTGTTGAGAAAACAAAGCTCAGCCTCACTCTGCTTAAGCCCCCTGAAACCACACACAGACTCACACACACACACTAACAGGAACTACACACCAGAACTTGATAATGTAATGAGCTGCCTGAGTTACTTGTGCTTCGGATGAAGATCTTCCACTTTACACAGGAAGTCTTCATCCTGTTTGGGGATGAAGTGGCATTTTGAGAGGTAACCAGGGTCTCGGGATGAGCAGTGATCCCCCATCTCAGCTACAGGAACGGAAAGAGACACTGAGCATCCTCAGAAAAACACACAGCAATGAATCCTGACAATTGGGTACTATAAGACAATATCCTCCTAAGAGTAATTACTCACATAGTTATTAAAGAATCAATAATCACCCCCTTTTTTTGTTCCTGGAAGACATTAGACTTACACTGCACAGCGTAAGAAGCCAGCACCACAGCTGCGTCCAGCGGGCACTGCAACCTGCAATCAGATACACTGATTACACCCTGCATGCTCCACGGCTAAACAAACAAAGAACACAAGAGACTGGCTGGTTCAGTTCAAAGCTGCATTACTGACCGTCCCTCCCTGACATCGCTCCGGATCTGGAGGAAGTACAGGTGCCTGCAGGGACAAAAACACACAAAAGAGAACTTAACCTGTGCACACGTTTTGCATATCATGCAAAACAAAAAAACAAAAATAAAAGCTCTTTTGTGTACAACAACATCACGTTCCTGCAGCAGCAGTGACAGCTACAGTAAAAAGAAAATACATTTTGTGATGTTTTCTACAAATACTCAATACAAATGTGTTAATATTTAAACTGTTTATAAAAAGTACTTTCATAGAAATGTGCTTGTTGAGAACTCAGTGCATACTTTTAAGATAACCTGTAATTAGCAAGAAATTAAAGAGTAACTAAACCACAAATCAACTTTTTTGTAAATAAACTGTCTAAATTGTGTTAGTTTATTTTTTAACCCATTTGCTGGATTGTGATCAAATTTATCTTGAATAAATAATGAAAAAGTTCTTGATAGAGAGTAAGGCACATAAAATGAATACTAATGAGTATTTCTAAATTTAATCTTTTTTTCTTTATACTTTAGGTTATGTATGTTCTAAATGCTACATAAAAGTGAATTTGGAGAAGGCAATTTGTATTTCTATAAGAATAATTTGTTATATAACATTTTTTCAGTAAATATTTAAAGAAATTGCCGCTTTCATTTAAAGCAGCCACTATATGATTGTAACAGCTAAAATACATAAATTATAATCAGCACAGAGTGTTAGAAAAGACCAACCTTGTCTGTTCGTGCTGTAGAGAGTTAGGCTCAGATATGAAGAATCGTACTCTGAAGTTCAGATAAAAGGGGGATACAAGACCTGCAGAGAAACATCATGTCAAACAAAAATAACCTTTATATCTATAACCACCGCACAGTTTTTTCTTTTACACTTACACTTCTGATTTAAACATGCTTCAAAACTAAGAAAATTCTAGGTGGAATAGGTTTTTTTTCTAAACAACAACTGATGAGATACCTTTTATCTGCTTCTTCAAGGGTTTCTCGGGCTCCAACCATCTCTAAATAAAAGACATTCATTAGGCATAATGGCTACCCTGAGCTAAAATAAAAACATTTATGTAAGTGCGCCCCGCGGTCATCATCATCATCATCAACTGAACTCAGCCAGACAATAATACGATCTCAGCCCCGAATGTGCCAGCAGAGGAAGAGTGAGCTCACAGGAGAGTGCGGGTTGGCTGAGGTGGAGGCGATGGTGGTGCCGGACTCTCTGATCTGCAGACTGAAGAGCTGCCTCTCCTGCAGGTCCAGGTGGTCGAACACCAGGTCCAACAGAACCATGCCTTGATCCTGCTTCTGAAGGACAGAACAACAAATGCTCTTACAGGCGGCCAAACATTACGGCTGAGGAGTCTGTGCACCTGAATATGCTCCTAAAATTAGGAGAAGAAATAAGTATTTTTACAATTTAGAATCCCTCCACTGGTTGCCCCTTTTGCTCATCATGGTCACTGTGGTAACCACACTTATGTCTCTCACTCCCACAATAAACCTGAGATAGGCAGACAGAAAAATGCCCAACATGTCCAGAACTGATTGTACAAGGAAATCATTTTTATTTAATTTGGGATAAATGGCATAAAAATACAAGACTTGTCCTTTTTTTAGGGAAAGTCAAAAAATGTGAGTAATGGTAAATAGTAAAATTATTATGAAAATGTAAACGTAATTGACTAGTTCAAATTCATGCTGCTAGCACCTTCTTGTCTTGAACAATGACTAATATTCATATTGAGAAAAAAAATCATCTTTTTCCATACAGATTAGGGCTGTTTTGACTGAGTTGAATTTTTACAGGGTTCTCTACATGTATCATGTTCAAATTTTGTGCTAGCATTTGCCTGTCTCGACTTCTGGTCATTTCAAGCAAGACAAATTGATTCAACTGCTTCTTCAAACCCCACCCAAAAAAAGTCAATCCATCCAATCACGTCGTTAACAAACTCCTCCCATAAAAGTCAAACAGACCAATCATGTCCTTTATTAACCTTTAGAGTGGATGGAGCTTGCACTGGTTGGAAAAAAAAAAAAACAAGCCTGCCTTGCACCGGAGTAAGTAAGTAGTTTGGTGCCATCTGTGTGACAATATATTTTTTTAATTTATAAAAACTAAACAGCCTACAGTATTTTTATAGTCTTTGTTTTAATAAAAGTAAATGTTTATCAAAAAATGTCTAATGTTAAACTAGTCTGGGTTCGCTTTAAATTTTCTCTCAGCTCTCCAACCCTCAGCTCATCTGCATCCTCTACTCATCTTTCGTCCCACGTCTTTTGTTTAATGTAAACTGCAGCAAACACTGCGTCCGTGCAGCAGAAACCATTACATTTCAAAAACTTCTACACCAGGGCTATTCAACTAAACTACTCCGGGGGCCACAGTTACTGCAGGTCAGGGGTTGAACACTCAGCAATTAAAGTCATTATGTAAATAAACCAAGTATTACAAAGATCTGTTACCTTTGAAATAGTTTATTTTGCTGCATTTAATCATAAATACAACATAAAGAACCCTACAAGTAGTGATAATAAAACAATATCAAAAACAAAATAACACATTCTGCCTTCTGTTTAAAACAAATATTATTTTGACATGTCCTGATGCATCTCAGTAATCCAGGTAAAAAATCAAAAAGAAAAAAATTGTATAGGTCTTCTGGACGGGTTCTTCTCTAATGAAACGTTTCGTCTCTCCTCCAAGAGACTTCTTCAGTCTGAGAGTTTCAGGCAAAARTCAGGCTTTTAAGCKCTGCCTCCATGTGACTGATACTCACATCACAGAAGCCATTTTTTTGTGAAGAAAGACCGTCCATCATTAAACAGAGGTGGAGGCCTCCGTTTTCAATTGTCCCCCTCCTACAGCGCGGCTATTGCCAGTATCACTCCACCCCCTGTTAACAATAAGTGTTAATTAGGTGTCAACGATAGCCATGTGATGRGAGTATCAGTCACKTGAAGGCAGGGCTTAAAAGCCTGAATTTTGCCTGAAACTCTCAGACTGAAGAAGTCTCTTGGAGGAGAGACGAAACGTTTCATTAGAGAAGAACCCGTCCAGAAGACCTATACAATTTTTTCCTTTTTGATTATTTTGACATCTCTGACTAACCAAATGTTAAAAGAAAATTTATTTTCACTTTCAGAGTTTTACTTTCAACTGCTTGTTGTTTTAAGTGTGCATAGAAATGGTTTTTTTACCAGCTTCTAGCCAAGATTTTGACATTTCTGCAGATACCAAATTTGTCTATGTTTAACTAAAAGAACTTATAGTAATTAAAGAAGAAAACTGGGGGTTTGGACCTAAGAGATGAATGAACCAATTGGCAGGCCAAATTATGGTCAGTTGCCAGTTGAATAGCCCTGTTCTACACCCTGATGTTCCTGTAAATAAGTTTCAGTTAAAATCTATTTTATCCAAATTAAAGAACAAAATACAGCTCATCGAACTGTTTATATTAGTGCTTTCTCACATTATAATAGAAGTTCCTTGCAGTTTCTATGAAAAATGATAGAGGAATGGTCTTTAAAAAATCTGAATTGAGGATGTCTTTTTTTGTGTGAGCTGCCAAGTGTGACATGCATCTGTAAGCTGCAGAAGGAGAGTGTGACCTTCAGTCATGATGGTGATATTGTTGAGTGGGAGCTCAAAACATGAGAAAAAGGGGAAAAAAAATCGGTCTTCCAGTGCACCTCGAAAGGCACTACAGTCATTATCAGAGCAGAGAAACAGGCAGGAGCGAATATTATCTGCTCAAACCGAAGGGAGAATTGAGCGTGCATGTGTGTGTTTGTTTACGTGTGTTTTACTTACACTGACTCTGAAGGTCTCGATGGTGCCGTCCAGCAGCTGAACGAGGCAGAGCAGGTCCGGTTTTGGCATGTCTGTTACCACGGTAACTCTGCCTCCCTCTCAAGACGAACACCCTTCCCTCTGCTTGTCACTGAGAAGGGACCTGGACACACGCACATGCATGCACGCACACACAGAACAGTGTCAGATGTTTTCATGCTGTTGTCCTCCAATAAAAAGCACCTCCCTCAAGATGACAGAGTGTGGTGAGTAATATACATTAGCTGGATGGAGCACAGGCCCAAAGTGAGTAATGCAGCATGAATGTGAAGGAGTGACTCTGCTTGTGTGTGTGTGTGTGTGTGTGTGTGTGTGTGTGTGTGTGTGTGTTTGAGTAATCTGGTATTATTTGGCCTGGGTCTGAACATGTCCCTTCCCTCTGCCTGCTGCTCTCCTCCTGCATCTCTCTGCCTTTCGAAAGGCAGCTGAATGATAAGAATGTTAAACATTTTCAGAGTCGAACACGCCCCATCTGCTGCTGCTGCTGCACTCCAAGCAGCCGCCGCTGGAGGCAAGGCATGCACGTCAATGTAGACCCCCCACCCCCAAATAAAAACCAAAAATGCTCGAAGGAATCATGCACATTAGTGTGTATTTGCATGCATGTGCGATTTTGTCTGTACATGTGTTTGTCTTGGATTTCCAGGAGAGTGGCTCTGGTCAGTCCCTGTCTCTTAAAGTTTCTGAAAAGACACACAAACATAAACACACATATGCAGTTTGAGTTAATGTTTGAACACAGTGACACACTCTGAATATATTAAAAACTGTTAGGGGACTGGTTTTCCATAACTCCCCTCACAGTTTGGCTTTAAGTGAATTTACAAGCAAAAGTCACATTGTAGAGGGGGGGGGGGGGTCATAAATTTATAAACATTTGCTACAACCTAGCTCAAACTATTAGCTTCATTAACCACTCAAATGTTCCTCCTGCTAATAACAGAAGATAAACTAGGCCTGTTTCTGTGTAATAAGGCCCGAGTTTAATTTTCCGGCTGGATAATAAACTCAGCCCTGACCTCGCTGTACTTTGAGCCACACCACGAACAAGGAACCTGTTGACAGAAGCCTGAACTGTTTATGAAAAGCTACACCCAAAAAGGACGAACACACCACAGGAAAGACTTTCCTCCACGGCACTCCTCGAAGCACAACAAACTTGATGGCCAAGTTCACGGTCTCTTTCTGGGAAGTTAAAGTTGTTTTTGTTGCTTTTTTTAAGGAGAGAAAAAAAGGCGGTACTGACCTCGACGGTCCCGCTTCAGACACGGGTCATATCCGTCAGAGAGCGTCCGCTGCGAAGAGCTCGTCGTACCGACCGAGCAGTATGTCGTCGGGAGAGGCCAGGTACAGTTAGGTAAATATCCGGGACAAGTTTCACATCCCCGGGCTGCAGTGACACGACGAGGCCACGCCCCCTTTTTGTGCTGCGCACGCTCCCGTATAGATGCGCGTTACCGCCGGACAGCAAGCTGGGGCAGGGAGCGTGGAAGAGCAGATAAGAAAATAAAGTTCTTATATTGTTTTGTTTTTTTTCTCCTTATGTTTGTCCTCAGTTTGTGCTATTTTAACCGTTCATATATTATAACACTCAGCTCATTCAGGAGATGGCTGCTAAGACTAAGCTTTTGTCTTTTTTATACGTTTACACATTTTACTTTATTAAAAAAAGAATCACCATTGACATTTCTTCAATGCATTGAAACCCATTGTTCAGTTTAAAATATGGCTTAACCTTTTTACTTTATTTTTAGCTGCTTTCTTCGATTTTTTTTTTTGGCTACTTGCTAATTTTTTGCCACTTTTAGCTACCGTTTGGCTTGTATGCTGTTTGCAACTTTAAATTTTAGCTAGAATTAGTTTCAGTTAGTCTATTGAAACTTAAGTTTTTGGCTAGCCATTGACTTTCTTTTAGCCTGTTTTAGTACTTAGTTTTTAGTGACATTTACCTGCTAGCTTCCATTTTGCTGCTTTTGGCTTTTAGCTAATCTTTTGCTACTTTTAGTTTTTATTTGGTTACTTGCTATTTTTTAGCTAACCTTTAGGTGACCTTACCTACAAGCTTCATTTCTGCTACTTTTCACTTTTAGCTATCATTAGACTTGTAGGCCTTTTGCTATTTTTGGCTAGCATTTTTTGCAGTGGTGGGATGTAACTAAGTACAAGTACTTTGTTGCTGTACTTAAGTACATTTTTTATGTATCTGTACTTTACTTAAGTAGATTTCATCATGGGTACTTTTTACTTTTACTCCTCTACATTTTACATTAAGTATCTGTACTTTCTACTCCACTACATTTCTGTAATGCGTTGAATTACAAAGTACATTCATGTGACATCGCATTGCTTTTTTGTTTGTTTGTTTATTTATTTGTTTGTTTGTTTGTTTGTGTTTGAAAGTAATCAGTGGCGAGAGGGGAATTTCTGTAACTAGTCCATTGGAGCACTGCAAAGCAGGAAAGTACCATTAGACCGTCCTTAAAAAAGAAAAAAAAAAAAAAGGGCAGAGCAATTCTGCATCACCTGGAGCAGCAGCAGCAGCAGCAGCAGGACGCCCACAACGGAGGAAATGTGCCACTCATGGCCTTATTTATTCAAGTTAACTGGTTCAAAAAATGACTTGTTGAGATTTGATAAAGGACGATGGTGGCAAATTTACAGCTTCTGTAGCTGTTGTCACGATCTGTGATGATGCACAGAATCACCCCAAGTGTGAACAGTGCCACAGAGGGTAAACACAAACTGCAGTATTGTCAGAGGTGTCAAGTAACTAAGTACAGATACTTTGTTACTTTACTTAAGTAGTAATTTTGGTTATTTATACTTTAGTGGAGTAGTTATTTTTCAGGCTAATTTTACTTCTACTTCTTACATTTTAATTCAACTATCTGTACTTTCTACTCCTTACTTTTTAAA